CGGTATCGTCATCAACTTGCCATCTACTCATTCCGCTACAATCCAACCAACTAGCATATGAATTTATCTTATTAACTCCATGAAGCCGTAAGAATCAATTTCAAATTTGTGTAAAGTTAAAGACAGAATTTGCAATTAGCATAATTAGTTCATATCTTGTTTTATTTTTCCCAGCCGAGCACATCTTTCAGATTTACAATTAAGATAAGATGTTCTCACACCTGAGAAACTGAACTAGACGAAGCTAAAACAATTGGTTCCCAAAGAAAGTTGGGAGTTTTATTGTTACACATTGGCTCCCCACTCTCAGAGGGTATTCATATTGTTACAATTCTACTGACGAAGACTTATTTTCATAAGGAATGAATTGATGACCTAAAAATTTCATTTTGTGATGAGGCATCGTCAACAACAACTGTCTGGTGGTAATAAGAATTTAAATTTTGCTGAAATATACCTAGTGATAAATTTGGTGAAGATCGATCGACAACATCAAAAACAGAACAAACATCAATGCTGTAAGAAATATTTTAAGACATCAATTATTTAACAGAAATTTTAATTAAATTATTTTATTTTATAACTATATGAAATAATTTATATTTAGAAATATAGCAAACTAACGGTAATATTATAAAATAAAATATCAGCTTGAAGTAAAAACATGTTTCATGATGGTATCAATCCTTGACATAAATATTTAAATTCATCTTACATCTATTACTAAAAGTTTATATATGAACTGCGCTAATAGTTTTATCAGCGCCTCTGTCGGTCGAGTTAAAAAGTTTGTTTATTTACATTTCGACACCGTCTATATTCATTGATTTTACTATATTTGACATACAATCCACGGAATTATTTTTTTAACGTAGCAACCTCCATTTATACTCCATTCCACGAATATACGACTGTTTTAAATTGGCTTTAAGGTGTCGATTTAAATGGTCCAATGTATTGAATTGTACAATAGTAAATTCTCCCCATTTTTAAAATACTGTTACGACAGATATAAACCTTAAATTTAAATATGAAGTCATGATCTAAATATAAAGTTAATAGTTTATAAAACAGTTGTAATTCAGATTTTGAAGTATATAATTACTATCATGGAGTTTGTTTTTTCATTTCAATCATTTCATTGTAAACAAGTTGGTTTTTGAATTATGTGATTTAAACGAAATGTAACAATACTTAAGTGATCAAATAGTGTAAATTTTTTAGTCCAATATTCAATTAATATTAAAAAAACAAAAAAAAAACTTACTTATTCACTTATTCTCTTAATCTTCTAAAACTATCATGAACGATCAGATTCACAGCCATAATCAGTCGGCAATATATGAAACTGTATATAAATTTTCGTTACTTTTTAATATCCGTAACGACTCGGTACTTTAACTATCAATAGCCGGTATGTTATACCCGTTACTTTCGGAACTTTTAAGAGTACATAAACTCAAAGCAAAGAAATATTTAAAACTAACAAAGTGAAATATTAGATTCTTTTTCTGGTTTGTGAACCATCGTTCTGCCAATTTCTTTTCATTTATATTAAAAATAGTATATTTCTTTTTATTACAGTTGTAATACCTAATAAAGTATTATAATAAAATGTGTTATATCAAAGAAACCCGGCACGCCTCTTTGGTGTTTACATTTCACAGAAAGCTTACCCAAATGTCTGATGAACACATTTGGCTTCATAGACGTCATTATATTTATTTGTAGATTTTAACTGAAATAATTTTAGTTTAGATGTCATACTAGTAGACCCTTTTTATTGGAATAATAATTAGACCAATTCACCTTCATACTTCTACTTGCACAGTAAAATATTCGTTGTCGCAGTAAACCAAAACAGTAGTATATTCGTGGAATAGCCTATACCAAAATATCGGCAAAACTATCAATTGTTTAGCAGTGAAGTCGACGTCTTTTCAAAATGAATAAAGCATAATTAAAAAAAATGATTTTGAAAATATATTGGCCTCAGTTTATTTTAATGTATAAAACCAATTTGACAGATTTAACTCATTTCCGTTTAAAAATGATTGAAAGTTTTAATATTACGAAGCTTAACAATTTATACATTACAACAAATCCATCTAGTATCGATTGTACTCCACAAGAATTTAATCTGAAAGGATCTAATCTCTAAGTTAAAACAAATCGTCAATTATATTACATTTAGAACGGTATTTAAGCTTATAAAAATAACGGCAGGATCTTTGATTTTTACCTTATTATTGTTTATAGAACATCAACAATATTTGAATTATTTTAAAAAATCTCGGACTGTGTTACTAGTACTAGCTACACATATCTATGTAATAACATAAACAGTCAACGGGACCACTCTACTGGAATAAAACAACGCATAGGGAAAGCAAGATCAGCGTTAGTTAAGAAACTTTTCAGAAGTCACGATTTACCACTTAGTACCATAATCTCTATCATCAGATGCTATGTAGTCCCCCAGGCAGGGACGCTCTCTGAAACTTTTTTTAGAAAAGCTCGAGGCCTCCGAGATGTGGTGTTACAGGCGCATCTTACGAATTTCATGGGTGGACCGTGTGACTAAAATTGAGGTCCTACGTAGAATGGGCAAGGAATGCGAGATCACTAACACAAATAATGAGCGCAAATTAGAATATCTTGGCCATGTTATGAGAAATGAATACACATTATGGTTTATTGCAACTGATTCTTCAGGGCAAGGTATTTGGAAAGGGAGGACCAGGGAGAAGAAGAATATCTTGGCTTCAAAACCTAAGGAAGTGTTTCAATACGTCTACAACCGGACTATTCCGAATAACTGCAAGTAAAGTTAGGATAGCTATTCTGATCGCCAACATCCGTCGTAATTTCCATATAGCATTGGTATTTTAACTTATAACTCTTAGTTCCTAGGCTGCAATGCCTGAACTATTTCACCAATTTCAGTGTTCAAGTAGACACTGCAAAAACGAAACGTCGTCGAGTAATTTGGCAGTGCATTAAGAAAGGTCTAAAAATATAGATTAGCAAAAAAATTAGTCTACTTTAAGATGTTGTGATCTAATCTTACGTTTACAAATTATCAATGTATGCACCAGTAGTCTCCGAGCAATTATTTTTGAGAAAAGTTCTTCGTCGTAATACGTAATTGGTCTTATGAGGACTGATCATTAAATTGCAAGACTTTTTGATTTGTGTGGCAACGTCGCAACGGAGCACAGTGCGTTTTTGTGTTACATCTATTAGAATCAGTTTTACGTGAATATTGGTGATTTTTCGATATGTTGCAAGACGCATTCCGTTTCTTTGTGTCAATTTTTATGCAAAATTGGGTAAAACTTTTATAGAAACTTTTTAAATGTTGCCATAGTGGATTGAGGATGAATGTTTGAGTCGGTTGTGCCATCTGTGGTTTAGAGGTTTAAAACAGACCGGAAGTCATCAATCGACTATTCATGTTTAAAACAGCCATCTTTTTCGACTCACGAAGAGCACGTTGAAAGAGTGAAGAGTCGAGGACAGTCAAATCGATGTCTTAAAAGCATGGCAAGTAAAATTAAACATCAAAGTCATGCTACCTATTTATTTTTTCGATTGGAAGCATGTGTTGTACTAATAATCTCTTCAAAGAGAGAACCCTTACAATACAGAACACAAGAAGTTTGTTGTGTTCTGCACAACAGATGATACTAAATTGGGGAATGATGTCAAGGTTTCACAACCAAGACAAAACATCTAATTTCTCATTATCTCTTAAGAAATTTACAGTTGTATACAATATTCTTGTGTTAGATGATTTGCCTTATTAGCCTGGTATTGCTCCCTCTATCAACTTGCTAAGGTAAACTCTGCATTAAAAGAACCAAGCTTTGAATATGTGGGAAAAAAAGGAGAAGGTTATCTAACATCCTCATCCTCATCTAGTAATTGCGAGCTTGTGGCCGACTTCATTGTGGCAACAATCGATATGTTACATATTTAGTAGGTAGAGTAAGCATTTTTACAGTTGACCGAAATAATGTTCACGACGAGGAACAAAGGTTCGACCGTTTGTAATTATTCGCCCACCTGCTCGAAAGAACCAGTTCAGATTCTTATTTTCCTGCTGCTCCTGCCCGAACGGTATTGACACCGACTATGACACGAAACTTTCTAAAGAATATCATATATCAATGACTCTGGCCATATTCGAAGACATTAAAGCTATACAACGTTGATTATTCATACCTATCGATTACTATATCTTCTCAAACGACACCTAAAATATAAACTTATGTTCAAACAAACAAAAATATATTTGATGAAGAGATGGAGCTAGCTAGTTTCTCGAGATTTTTTAAAATGTTTTAGTAATATAACATAATCTGATTAATTACTTAGATATTGGAATCATGCAATCAATAATTTAAAACATTATGAAATATCTGTATAGCTGTATATAAAATAAATGTTCTCAGGATGTTAAATATCTTTAAAATTTAATTAATTTATTTTACATATATTTATCTTTTGGAATATAGCCTATTGGTTGTTTAAAACAAATGTATTAATCGGCGTATTTTTGTCATTAACGGTGCATTAACATTATATATTCGTACAAAATATGCCCAAATATAAACAGGAACTCACTGAAGAGTAGTAACGTTCTAATTGTCTATGCGTCTCCTATAAAACAGAAGATTATTGACCCATCTAAAACAGTAATAATCAAAATGTTATAAAACATAAAATTCAACTGTTATTTGTAAAAAATACTAATACAAAGTCTAGACTGGCTAGTTCACACCTGTGAAATTCTGCCCACGCCCTCTTACAGTCGATTTTTAATTCTCAAGATTTTCACATTCGTACGGCATGCATATCCCCCACAGATCATCTGTTTATATTTGGAAATCTGTTGTAAATATCGTGTAATGGACACTATCTCTTCTGGTAATCATTATAAGTTTTCCTCTTTGTTATCATTAACCAAAAGTGTCATATTTATATTTTTATTCTTTATAACTTAGTGTATATACAGTATAGAGACTCCTTTTAGTTAAAATATACACCTTAGTTAAAAATATACATTAGGAAAGTAAATACATCTCTCCCCAAACATTTTCAGCCTTTTCTCATGTATTTTCCAGTCTACGCTAATACATCAATGAAAAATATTTTATCTGGGGATTCTATCAAGAAAATCCATTTCTACAACCTTATCGATCTTTTCCAAGACGGATTCTAAATGTTTATCGTGCTGTCTCTCACTATTGTACAAATGATCCGTAGCTGAGAATTTGCTGCAGTCGGTTCTGTGTCTATCTGAGCACGTTCTCAGTGTTTTGAAGAAACCGTGAAGGTCTTTCAGTTGTGTAATGCTGTTCATCGTGAGGAGCAGCTCATTCCTGTTCATAGGCAAATAATCTATGTGGGTCTCGGGGTATTTCTTGTCCATCAATTCCGCTATTCTCACAACGTGGGGTAAAAAGGGTATTTGGTTAAACTGGCTGTTAGTTTTCTTGTTCAGGTCATCTCCAACGAACGCCCAGCGGTACCTATAACAAAAATATTATCAATTTGAATCTTTAATACGGAATCGGACCAACCGAGCTAACCCGGAGTGTAGACAAAGGGTGTAGACAAAATAAACAAGCACTGAGACCTGTGGCATCGCTTTTGTTAACGTCTAGAGCAACAACAATTCAAATAACTGTAAAAGGTAATTTAAAAACGTCGTCTACCAACCTGGAAGCCAATTCATAATAAGACAAATACCATATAAGAGTTGTCATTGATGTAAACAAGGAACACGGAAAATTTTTCGAGACGATGAATGAAAAAACGGTCTTTAACATTTCCCTCCTAATCTAACTTGTGCAAAGAAGTTATTCACTTTTATAGTTTATTCGTCTTCCGGGTTTGGACCGTGTCATTTGTGAGTGACCCAAAAGTGGGTTCATCTCGACGTTTCGCTACAATTGTATGTAGCTTCTTCAGGAGAACAAAGAAAAAGAAAGAAAACAAAAGAAGAACAGGAAGATGGGTAGTTAGCAACGGTAACTCAGTTACTCAACGCAACCAGAGGCAAATACTAACTACCAAGATGGGTATTTGGTCACAGTAACTCAACTACTCAACGCAGTCAGAGGTGAAAACCAAATGCCAGGACAGGGATTCACGTCCAACAGCTCAGAACACTAACGCGTCGAGAGGCGGGGAGTGAATCCGACGATTACTCCGCTACCGCTATATTTATAGTCGCGGTGCCTGTCGTGTCGGGACGTATCGGCACACTTCGTGGCGCGAACATCAAGAAGCGCGCGCTGGCCAATCATGTGGCTGCATCGTGGTGGCGGGACCGGACGGTGGCTCTAGACTGAGATTCCAGATGGGAGACAAGTAGTATCCTTCCTCTCGATTGATATTATGGGGATTTTTTCGGATCTCTAGAGATTCGCGGATTTTCCTGGAATAAAAGAAGGGGCTCTTAGAAATAATATGGGTTTTTTCGAACAATATGGAATGACCGGTTTCTTGGCAGTGTTCGGCAACTGCAGAATGGGAGAAAAGACCTGATCGAATGCATCTTTGATGCTCTTGAATCCGAGTTTTGACGGAACGACCAGTTTCGCCAATATACACATGTCCACATGAACAAGGAATAGAATAGACACCACAGGAAGATAGGGGCGGTAATGGGTCCTTAGGAGAGGGTAGATATTGTGAGATTTTCTTGGGTGGTCGAAAAGTAGTCCTGATACCTTCTTTGCGAAGAATTTTGCCAATCCTATCAGTGACATTTCGAATATACGGAAGAAAAGCCACAGGAGTATTACCCGAAGATTCTGAATTTGTTGTCCTAGGGTGTAAAGGGGGATGTAGATGTCGGTGTGTAATATTTTGAATTGTGGACTTGGAGTAACCATTGGCGACAAGGGTTTTTTGCAGATGGCCAAGTTCTTCTCTAAGGTTGTCGGGTTCAGAAATCGAAATGGCCCGATGGATGAGAGAGTTGATCACAGAATTCTTTTGGGCAGGATGGTGGTGTGATGAAGCATGTAGGTAACGATTCGTGTGAGTCTTTTTTCTATAAACAGAGTGACCCAATCGGCCATTGGGCTTGGAGGTGACTAACACATCGAGAAAGGGAAGGGAACGATTATTTTCTACTTCCATTGTGAATTTTATACTCGGATGTTGTGAGTTAAGATGATCTAGGAAGGAAGAAAGGGTATGTTGACCATGGGGGCCAGATGATAAATGTATCATCAACGTAGCGGAACCAGACTTTTGGTTTTAAGGGGTAAGATTCTAGGACTAAAGACTCAAAGGCTTCCATGAAAATGTCAGCAATGACAGGGGAAAGGGGAGAACCCATTGGTGTTCCAGATATTTGTTTGTAGAAATTGCCTCTAAAAGAAAAATATATTGAAAGGAGGCATTTTTCGGCAAGATCTGCCAAAACCAAAGACTTGTTATCATTGGTCAAGTGATCTCGCAGAACAACTAGAGAGTCATGTATGGGGATATTGGTAAATAGGGATGATACATCGAAACTGACGAGAATATCTTGGAGATCGACTGTGAGAGAGGAGATTAAGGTGATGAAATGTGTGGAATTTCGGACATAAGAAGAGGTACGACCAGTATAGGTCTTAAACTGATTGGACAAGTACTTTGCGAGTTTGTAGGTAGGAGAGTTAATCGTAGTCACAATGGGACGAAGAGGTACGTTATCTTTATGGATTTTCGGAAGACCATAAATTCTGGGGCAGATGGAGTTTTTTGGAACTATGGACTTCTTAACATCATCGGAAAGATCGGATTGTTTGATGGCATCGGAAATTTCGCGTTCGACTCTAGGAGTGGGGTCTCGAGAAATTGTATTATAACAGGATGTATCCCTAAGTAAGTCGTTTACTTTCTCTATGTAGGAAGGAGTATCCAGGATGACTGTGGCATTACCCAATTGTGTTCATGTGGACATGTGTATATTGGCGAAACTGGTCGTTCCGTCAAAACTCGGATTCAAGAGCATCAAAGATGCATTCGATCAGGTCTTTTCTCCCATTCTGCAGTTGCCGAACACTGCCAAGAAACCGGTCATTCCATATTGTTCGAAAAAACCCATATTATTTCTAAGAGCCCCTTCTTTTATTCCAGGAAAATCCGCGAATCTCTAGAGATCCGAAAAAATCCCCATAATATCAATCGAGAGGAAGGATACTACTTGTCTCCCATCTGGAATCTCAGTCTAGAGCCACCGTCCGGTCCCGCCACCACGATGCAGCCACATGATTGGCCAGCGCGCGCTTCTTGACGTTCGCGCCACGAAGTGTGCCGATACGTCCCGACACAACAGGCACCGCGACTATAAATAGAGCGGTAGCGGAGTAATCGTCGGATTCACTCCCCGCCTCTCGACGCGTTAGTGTTCTGAGCTGTTGGACGTGAATCCCTGTCCTGGCATTTGGTTTTCACCTCTGGCTGCGTTGAGTAGTTGAGTTACTGTGACCAAATACCCATCTTGGTAGTTAGTATTCGCCTCTGGTTGCGTTGAGTAACTGAGTTACCGTTGCTAACTACCCATCTTCCTGTTCTTCTTTTGTTTTCTTTCTTTTTCTTTGTTCTCCTGAAGAAGCTACATACAATTGTAGCGAAACGTCGAGATGAACCCACTTTTGGGTCACTCACAAATGACACGGTCCAAACCCGGAAGACGAATAAACTATAATTCTGACTCTGGCCGTGGAAGCCTACGATTTCATAAGTTATTCACTTCTTTGCACAAGTATTCTTTGTATTTATACAAAATATAAAATCAGTGCTAATCGACAACGAATACATAAAATTGAAGACCACACAATTTAAGGAATGTTCAAAAATACAGATAAGGTGGAAGACAAATCCATTAACTAGATAAACGAAGCTTCCTCTAGGAATAATCACAACCATCTAAAATATCTACCAAAACAGCACAGTAAATGTAAAAGTAGAAGAAGAACTAACTGACACAACTGAAGATGACAATGGGATAAGGCAGGGAGATTTCCTTAGTCCTGTATTGTTCAATCTGATCATGGATGAAATAATAAAAAAATAATAACTTAAAATGGATATTAAATGGGAGAAAACAACTTAAAATAATCTGTTATGCAGACGACGCAATACTAATCTTTCAAAGTGAAGATAATTTACAACGTATGCTGCACCAATTTAATATATCCACCAGAAAATTTAACATGTTAATTTTTCTCCAAAAAAGACAAAATACATGGTTATAACAACACATTTACAAGATGTAAATTGGAGATGGAAGGTCAGATAATAAATGGAGTGATAAAGTTTCAATATCTAGGTGTCACGCTATCAAGCTTTAACCAGAAAATTAAACGGCCCCAAAAGAAGAGGTAGACCCACAACGAGGTGAATTAGTAAAGCGGAGGAAGACCTTAAACACGTGAAGGTGAAGGACTTGAAAATAAAAGTACATAATAGAAGCGAATGGAGAAATATTGTACACCAGGTCCTTCAGAGTAGTTAAGAATGTTATATATACATATTTAAGTTAAAGTTTTGTTTAAAATAATTGTAATTAGTTAATATTAGGATTATGTTGTTTTGCAAGCAAGAACTGTAGAAGAAAGAGCGAACCTACAACAAGAATATGAAACAATAAATAAAGCAGTTAAAAGAAATGTAAGAAGAGACAAAAGAAGATGGGCTGAAGAACTGGCAAAACAAGCCGAAATAGCTGCACAACACAATAGAACTAGAGAGCTATACCAAATTACTAGACGTCTAACAAAAAGTGGGCCCAACTGTTCAAACGTCGTAAGATCCAAGACAGGAGAATTACTTACTACAACAAATGACCAAATAGAGAGATGGAAAGAGCATTTTCAGGAGATGCTAGCCACGCCCAGGGATAACGCAGATGAAATTGTCGAAAATCCACAGAATATAGACTTGCGTATATCTTGCGACGCCCCTTCCAAAACAGAGATAATAACAGCTATCAAATCTCTGAAAAATAACAAGTCTCCGGGAATCGATAACATTGCTGCCGAAATACTTAAAACTGATCCTCATCTAAATGCTGAACTTTTGCTCCCCATAATCCGAGAGGTGTGGGAAACAAACCGCATTCCAGCGGGCTGGAAAAAAGGCATCATTATTAAGCTTCCAAAAAAGGGCAACCTCACACTATGCAAAAATTGGAGAGGAATAACCTTGCTTACCGCCATAAATAAAATCTTCACGACCATCATACTTAAAAGATTAACAAATAAGGTTGAATTTCGAGCTAATCAAGTAGGCTTTAGACCAGAATCCTCCTGCATAGACCACATTAATACTGTGAGGCTAATAATGGAACAATCGGTTGAATGGAACACACCCTATACATGGTTTTTGTTAATTTCGAGCGTGCTTTTGACAGCTTATCTCATGATGCGATATGGAAAATTTTAGAGCTAAGAAACATCCCGCATAAAATCATTTCCATTATAAAGTTACTGTACACTGAAGCGAAATGCAGCGTGACACACAATGG